TGAGATGGTGCTCTCCTGAAGGTAGGAGAGTCAGATGCAGGTTTTAGCTACATTGACAGTAAGGTTCTGTTTACCTAAAAGCAGTAATTAAGTTAAGAAATTCAGTAGTTCACCATACTGCAGTACAGCCTTCATAGAAAAGGGCTCCTCCTAGTAAATGACTCTTCCCCATGGAGAACAACATGAGGACTTCTTCAAGTAATCTTGTTCTATAGCAGTCTTGCCTGCATGATAATAACAATAAAAGCATATTTTTTATCTGTGAGGGTTTTGGATGAAGAGGCCTGAAGTATGTTTTGGTGTTTAGTAAAGGAAGTCATTCATTTGTTGAGGAGAAGGAAGGAATGTCTGAAGATGAAGTGACGGCACGAGGTCACACCCAAGGTGCATCTATGTTCGCTCTGGCCAGGAGCAGTTGCCTGGGGAAGGGATCGCAGGGATGGGCCCTGATGTGCTGAATACTTTCTCAAATCCAGCAATCTCAGGCTGATGGGTTTTGTGAGACAAAGGCGGTTTTGTATTTGGTATCAGTCGATTTTTCTTCCATGTGATTTTGAGCCATTTTTGAACTTAGCTACCTTCTCTTATCCATGGTATCTGAGGAGGAAAGGTGACTTTAGTTTTTAACATCATATTGCAGGGGTAAATTTTTTTTTTCTTTAATTTTTTTTGTCAGCTTGGCTCAATTTGTGCGAGGAGAGGCAGTGAGCAGTCATTTCCTATTTGCTTTGTCTGTGCCTCTCAAGATTTTATAGTTCTCCGCTGTCTGTTTTCCTGGCTGAAGAGTTCTGGTATGTTCAGATGCTTCCCATATGGAAGGTATTTCGTGTTTTTAATCACCCTTGCTGCTCTTGTTTTACTTTTTCCAGAACAGAAGAATAGCAAACAACCCCATAACATCAACAACAAAAATATGGAACAGTTCTTCCGGAATTTCTCATGGTATATTCCCAGCATTTTTAGGTTTTAATGTTATGGAGATTGCTTTTACTGTTGGCAGTGTCCCCATTGGAACATGGAGCAACATGTCCATGATGGAGAACAGTAAAATTAAGTTGTCAGTAATTTTACATTTCTTAAAGTGGGCAGTTGATTTTCTGTAAGACTCCATGCAGCGTTTCGGCATATTTTGCGTCAAGTTCACTGTAGAGGAGAAATGTTTCAGCTTTTCTTCTGTCTTTTACTAAGCATTCCCTCTAAGAGCAGGTTAAAAAATACGATTTCATTGTATTTTGATTGGACTCTGTTGTAAATTTATTTTTGCCCATTTAAAAGAGAATAATTAAAAGATAAAACATGCTGGCTAATGTTTGTTAGTTGTTTGTGATGCTTCATTCAATACCATTATATTTGTCATTGTAGCCTGTGGAGATGGTCAGTTCTCTGCATACCTACTGACAAAATACTGTGAGTCTAGAAATGGTGTGTCATCTTTGTCTATTAATTAAGTGTTTATGTTTGGATGGTGATGAATAACCTAGTGTAGTGGTAGACCACACTCCAGAAAAAAAAACAGATTTAGCATATGCCTCTGCATGCATGTGTTACCTAATGCATATCATTACATACAACATTTTAGGAAATAAGAAAGAGTAATAACTTGAAATAATGCAGCTGCTGAGTAGCTTGTTATGTTATGATAGTTTTTGACAATTATGTTTCTGGAAAGGAAATGGAGGTTAACATACATGTTTGTCACTCACAGCTTTCTTAATGGCTAGATTTTTAATGCCAAAGTTGTTTTAAAGTCCACTTTGAAGAAAAAAACACTTCACATTTTAATAAACTCCATACCAGTAAAATGAAATCTAAGCTCAATAAAGTATGTATTCATGTCATACATCGCAGAGGAAGATACTGTTGAAACATTAATCATAGTTTATCTTTCCAGTTCAATAAAAGGGCTACTAAGAAATAGCAAAACTGGAGTTCTCTCATTGACTGATGTCCTGCCTAACAGTGTGAAATTGTGTATTGGCAGAAGAGCAAGCACTGGTGATGCCAGGATGAGTTATTCAACTTGTAGGCAGAATTTAAGCAGCCAAGTCAAGTGTTGAAGATTTGAACTTTATGTATACCCCAGAAATGTAAAAGTGAACCAAAACCAAAGAACAGTGCTAAGAATCCCTTGCTAAGAATCCTAAACTGAAGCACAAAACGGCAAATAGCCAATAATGCAGAATTAGCAGTCAAACTGATGTAATTCAGCAGCATTTCTTTCCTTCACCCTTCTTCATGTACTAATATGTGATTGCTTCAAAAGGTGCAAGCAAAGCTAAAAGGGCAAAACAAAGATCTTCCTCAGTTTAAATGTTTTGTTATTCACAGATAAATTCATAAATAACTCCATAAGGAAATAATGTAATATCTTTCTTTCCTTCCTGATGTCCACAAAGGACAGTGAATAAACACTCATGAATACCAAATACAACTAGGATTGGAGACAGGAAAAAAAATAACCCTTTTCCAAACAAAATCAAGTATACTAGCCTGAGAGAGGCTGAGAAGCAGCTCTGTTTTCTTAATCTGTTTCCCCAGAAATAAATTCAGATACTGGCTTTTTTGAAAACTTGGGTTGTACGCTTCCTCCTTCTCTTGGAGGTAGATTCTTGGTATTTCTTGATGTTTATCTCAAAATGAGTGACAAAATTTGTGAATCTCAATTCCAGAAATGCTTCCAATTCTCTTTAAAGTGTTATCTTTATCATGTGAAGAAATAGAGCAAGTAGTTGTTATCTTAAAAGACAAAATCGGCACAACTTAAGTGGATTTTGGAATTTACGGCCCCTGTACGGCATTGCCCTAGCCTACCCTAGGTTTTGCTGTATTTGCACCATCTTATGTGAGCAAGATAATAACGTAGAAACATGTGGTGAGAACAAAGTAGAATGATGGTACCATCCAAAAGAAGGAGTCCAAGCGCTAATGGATGTGCCTGTGTTACCTGACATGCAGCTTTCAGATATATTGATGAAGTGCAGGCTGTTTTACTATGCTTTATTTTTCTGGCTCATCATTAGCGTTATTAATTTTTAAGTGTTCGTAGTTGTTGATCTGTGTATCCAAAATGGCCTTGTGCCTGGCAGATGAGATTTCAAGGTTTGTAATGTAGGTCCTTATACTGTGATTTGTTGGATTAAAGCTTCTACCAACATCAGCCCGGGTGCGGGGGGTGTCAGCTTGCTGACACCATGAAACCAGGCTGTTGGAGGACCATTAATCTAACATGTAGTAAGATCAGCTGGTCCGAGAATGTGCTGTACCTTCCATTTGCTGTATCGGTTTACTTTCCTCGCAATGTACAATATAGAGACATCTGTTGAGAACAGAAGAGGAAAGATAAAGGCAAATAAAAAATCATAATTCATGCAAGTAGGAGCATGTGCAAACATACACATTGTTTATCCTACAAATGGATCCCTTCTCTCTCTCCTATATGTCGTTAAAAATTACATAAATTTATTTATTTGGGTAGTTTTCTTATCATAACTTAAACCATTAATAAATTATTTCCAAATATTCCTTTTTAAATCTCACCGTTTACTGAACAAGTAGAAGAATGTTATTATCTGAACAGGGTGGTAGGCAGATAAATTTGGTATGCATGCAACTTCCAGTGATGTCCTTTAAAGCAAAGGCATAATAGCAGCTGCTGTGCAGGCGGTGCCTGTTGCCAGTGGAATTTATTTCTGACCAACTGTGTACTCTTCAACTCCAAATGCTCTGTCTGTCTTGAACAATTGCAGTGTGTAAAAAGAAAAAAGGGGGAGAGGAAATTATGAGAAGGTGGGCTATAGGAGTGGGATAAACATAAATACAGTTTTTATTCATAATCAAGGGAGTATTTGAATCTAAATTTTAGGAGCTGAAAAATTAGCAAATTACAGATTTCTTTTTTTTGTTGAATGAAAAAATACTGTTAATATGGTGTTTTTCAGATGGCTTAGATTTGAAGTAGATATAAATGCAAATTATAGCAGCTTTTGATGGCACAAATGCTTTAAGGTACTTTGCAAACGTATATTATTTAGAAAGTATGTATTTCTTATTTGTGTGAAGTATGAATAAAAAAAGTAACAGTGTCAATGTTTGGAGAAGGTTTTATTAATTATTTGACAGACAGCTATGCGTCAGCTCTGAATTTTATTTTTTGTGTGTATTGAAAATACTCAGAATTTCAAAATGTGAGTAATTTGTAGGTTTCTAGAAATACCAAGTACAGCCTTTCTCGGAATAGGACATAAAACATACTTCTTTGTTGTTGTTGTTGTTTTTTCTAAACTGGAGATGCAAGACAGTAAGATAAACACCTCTTGGTTGGCAGTGTTGGGTTTTGCTGGGATGCTTTTGTTTGTGGCTTTTTTTTTTTCCTTTCAGTTAGTGCGTATTAAAGCATGCTTGTATGTGTTCTGGGAGCGCGTCGTAGGCTACCTAGGAAGATTATTTTCTCTCTCTTACTTCCTAGTAGCTGTTTTCAGTATTTTGTCTACTGATAGAGATTTCCATAGTCTTGGCAGCAGCTGCAGGTGAGAAGTGCATTAAGTCATCTGGTTTGGGTCAGTGTCACTAGAAGATTGTTTCTTGCTGTGTATTAATGAGATCTTTCTTCCTTCAGCTATCAGGCAGGATCTTTTGAATAACTTCATATTCTCTGAAAAATATTTCTTCTCAGTTACGCTCAAGAACACAGGGTCTGACATCTTAATTGCTCATCAGGAATTCTAAAAGTTTGTCTGTATCTGGTTATATACTTCATGTATCTCTTACAAGCTGTTCCAGCGAGGAAGTCCAAATTCTCTTGAGACCTGCTTTTAGGCTGGTCAGGTGCATCTCTGTCCGTGGCTCCCTAGGGTCCCACAGGCGATGTGAAAGATGACAGCGAGAACATAAGTGAGATGTGCTTCACTGGTGTTTCCCAAGGCGTTTTTCTCTCCTCTGATGGGCTGGGTTACTCCTGTGAGGAAGCTCTTTACTAAGTGTGCTCTCTCTTTCATTTTCAGGCCAGAGCCTCAACAGAAAGCTCCCTCTGCACCTCCACCTCCACCCCCACCCCCACCTCCGCCCCTGCCCCAGCCCACCCCACCAGAGCCAGAGGAGGAGATCTTAGGGTCTGATGATGAGGAGCAAGAGGATCCTGCAGATTATTGTAAAGGTGTGTGCAATTCAGCAGTCTTGATGGGGGGAAACATTGTCATGCAAGTTTTAACTATGGTCCTTGAGAGGTTCTTAAAGACCTGGTCTTTAATTACGGAATTTATTTATGCCAGAGTTATGAACAACTGTTCATTTCAGGTCCAGATGCATAACTGTCTTCAGCTTTACTTTTATGCTTAGCCATACCTAATTTGTACATTTTGCAATAAGTATACAAATATTGGATCCCTGTTTTCTTCCCGATGTCCTAGTTATAAGAATAGAGAAGAAACTTTTCTTGATTGATGTTAGTTGTAAGAGAAACAAAACCTCCCAAGCCGAAACAAACAACACCTCTCAAACTCCAAAAGGTTCTAAAATGCCTCGATGCCTTTAACAATATCAACTACATTTATTTTTTAATCTATATCTTTTTTTCCCCATTCTTCTTTCACCAGCACCAGTCCGAAATGTTACATGCTGCTTTTTTGCATATTGTCTTTCACAGCCCTCGGCATTGTCCGAGTCTCTCTACATCTTCATTTTAGCTCTCGATTTCCTTAATTTTTGTAGTTGCTTATATTTGTTTTTTAATATTGTTAAATGCCTAAAAACGTGTGACTGCAGTACAACAGTGTCAATACTGAAGTTTTAATGTCACTGCTAAAGTTGCAAGTCTTTTCCCATTAGGGTAAAATGCATCCTGTACTTAGATGAAAAATCAGGAATAACAGGTCTATCAGCTGTGCGTTATCTATCGTAGTAGATTTCAAGGATATGAATTTACTAGGAAACATCAAAGTTTTATCACTTCAGATTAATGTTTTGTGAACAGCCAAAAAGCACTGTATGCACATTGGCTGTTCTGTATTCCTCATCTCAAGAAACACTTTCTGTGTCAAATAAGATGCTGTTGTCTTGATCAGAAGTTTCTGTGCAGGCCTGGAGATGTGCCGTTTTAAGAATGCGCTCTCCCATCCTGGAACAAGTTGTTTTGTATTTTCAGATTTAACAAGTGAAAGTGACTATTTCATTTTGTCCTAAGAAGTTTTATAAATATGTGTTGTTTCAGATGTCTAAGTGGCTTACAGATACCGACAGTGAAAACTAAATATTGAAGTCTGCAGCTGGGAACAATAAAACATGTTGCTAAAGCATGTTTTTATTTTTTAAAAAATTATTTCTATTACAACATATTTGTTCCTTAAGATAACTCTGTTGGTATCTGTAACATCTTCTTCCCTCAGTGTGTAAGGGTTTGTTGTTTAAACATGTTTACTTGTAAACATCTGTATTTCCTTGAGATTAAGCGTTTCAAGGCCCCCACTTAGTTCTTCCCTGAAGTAAGGGCTGCATTTAATTTCAAACAATCCCTTGTTGTCTGTGTTCCAGTATCTCTTGCAAAATGTCACCATCTGGAGAAGCTAGATCACAAATCAAACATGAAAACAGTGTAAGTTTGCAGCCCGCTTGTAAGTTACCTGTTTAACTAGAGTCTCTGTGACTGTAGCAGGTCAGTCATGAGATCTTGTGTGCTGGTAAAATGCACTGCATGTTACACTAAGAATACTTGCAAGTTTCCTGAAAAATTACAAGGAACTTCTGTACGCTTAAAGGTTCTTCTGAACCCTTCTGGTCTCAAAGTTCTGAATTGATGGAAGTGTATTAAATACGGTTCAAGCTTTGGTTCATTTGCGTGACAGAAGTGTTGTTTGTTTCTGTAAGAACAGTGCTTTTGTTGTTCCAGCAGACGATTTACCTGTTTTCTGACTGTAATTTCCTGTGAGGCTGATGAGTACATTTCCTTCTTTCAGTCTGCTGGAGCTGAACTGAAGGGAAGGATACCGTGTTTGTATAAGAATGTGAATTGAATGGCCAGATTGGGATGATCTGGAGCCATACAGCCTTGCTGTTTGTATTGTACTCATTATGGGGAATGAATGAGTTATTTGGTAAAGAATTCCAGAGATGGCTTTTAGATACAGTATTTCTATTTTTTTGAGAGGTATTTTATTAGTTTGAATCTACTTTTCTGTTTTGTGTAACCTTACCTGTGTTTACAGAGTGGAAGATAAATACTTGGAAATTATCATTTGTTACTAGAGTGTCTCTTTTCTTCTTAATTTTATCTCCAAAATGGCAGTCTCCCAGGATTTCTGAGTGAGGCACAGAGCCTACTTCATCTGTTCTCAACCCCAGTTTGAAATTTCATAGGAGGGCAATTTTGATGAAAGAGTCTATAGCGAATTTTTTAAATTAATTCAAAATTTTACCTGTTAACTGTACTTCCCATTGCCAGAGTATTTTTGTTACTAATTTTATTTTTATTTATTATTTTTAAGGGTATGTTACTACGTGCTAGGCTCACATCTTCACCACGTTACATGGGGGTTAGTGAATAGCCATAATAGTATTTTTAATCAGGAAATTGGATTAGTTTGAATTAGCACCTGACGGGAGCTAACAGTCATCGGTGTAAAGCAGACTAACCTCTGTTCCCCAGGGGCTTCCTCCAGGGCCTGTTTAAATCTGTGAAGTGACTTCTGTTGGTGTCACTCAATTTATATTAAATGCTTTTCAAATCTTTATTTGTTTAAAGAATGGAAATATCAAAAGTCCAACTATGTGATTTTTCAAGCGGTACTTAGACAATGAAGTTATTTCTTCTTCTTTTCTGAAAAGCCTTGAAACACTTGGAGATATTTTTCAAGAGCCTGTCGTGTCATCGGTGTAATTGGAATTCTTTGCTTCTCTGATCATCTTCTTTGCCCCCTGGAGATGTCTCTCATTCATCCAGTTCACAAAGGGAATAATTCCCTATACAAACATACAACTAGCCAGCTACAATTACCAATACATTCAGGAGACGTTTTGGAATAATGATCTCATTTTTCTGACCCTCTTGAGTGCATGTAGCTAGCTAGCTAGCTGTCAGAGAGACTTTTTTTCTGTGTGCTGCAGTGAAAAGCACAACAGGATTTTTTGTTACATTATCAGCAGCGCTGCTTATACATTGTATGTTTACAAATACCAATACTGTTTTTCCAAAAGTACGTCATTTTTCTCAACTCACTGATTTTGCATAGATGCTTTTTTGTTACACCTGTTTAGAAATAAGAACTTTTTGTATCATGAGGAACTTAAATTTACATTCATCATAGGGTGACACGAGTTTTTAAAATGCGTTTAACTAAGCGTGTCGTTAGCTGGTTGTCCACAACCTGTAAATTAATATGTTGCTGACATGAATAATTAGGGAGTAACGTGTGCAGGAATAGTAATGGATTATTTCCAAAACTGCTCCTGTTGTTGCTTAGGGCAGTAGAAAGTATCTGGTAAAGTATATGTACTCAGCGAATATGCCACTGCTGTTGGTATCTGTAACATATGCTGATGTATTGCTATAGTTAGTTACGACAGTGCAGTACTGACCAAAATAACATGACTTTTACATATATAATATTGTTATTCTTGTAATACATAGATTTTACTAAAATAACTAATCAACCCCTAGTTTATTTACTGGACTTTAGTGTCTGACTGATTTCCTCTGTAGGGTGTTCTCTCTCCTGTCTGTGATGGGAGGAAACTGTCCCAAGTTTCTGAGTATTTTTGACTCTTTGAAGCACAAGTATACCAAAAGCTGTCTGCAGAGTTTACCTAATGTATTCTTAGAAACACATGTTTGCCTGTATTTAAATTCTTTATCATAGAGTGTTATCCTGTTAACATGTCAAAAAAGCAAATATTTTGTTTAGTGCAAAAAAATTACTTCTTGACATTACTTTATATACTTGAAGGCCCACATACACCCTTCTGGCACTGCAAAAGGCTGCATGCATTGTGTTTTCATATACATCTGAAGCCATATAACTGTTAAGGAATAATTTAATAGGACTAGATTTTTAGGAAAATTGTAAAAGGTTCCAGAAATTTTTGTATTGTTTTAGGTGTTAAAACTAGCTGTTAAACATTTTCCAGTTTTTCTAACTGTATCTGTTTGTAAAAGGAATAACGATTACACAGAGAATAACATTTCATACTTCTCACTGTTTTCATGCAATGAGACATGCAGGACAAAAGTCAGAAGAAATGATACTGTGATAGTGAATTATGTGGAAGTGTTTTACGTAATTCTTGCTGTTAGGTCAGCAGACTTGATTCATTTCGCAAATGCAAACTTTTTCGGTAATAGAAAGGTAGAATTACTATATGTTCTTTGAACCTTCCACTCACATCTGTCACTTCATCATCCTAGACAGAATTTTATGGAGAGAATTTACCACAGAGTAAACATTTTTTTTTTAACTTAAACCAGTCAATAGCTGTCTTAAAGTAGTATTATATTTATTCAGATTTTAAAATATTTTCATCAGCTGTTACTGCAAGGATGGTTAAATAGACAATTAAAATATAGTTTTGTTTTTAATTTTTGTATCAGTATGGATTTGTATATGTGAGTTTGTTCAACAAGATTTGTGTAATAATGAATCTGCAATAGACTTGGGCTTCATATGTGGCTGATACGGTTTCTTTTTGCAAATGAAGTGGATAGCGTAATAGTCAACACTTACTTTCAGTAAGTCCATGTGTCCGGTCCCCTCGCTTTCCTGGAGCGTGAATCCAATCGGGTGTTCCAAAAGTGATCTGATTTTTCCTTAAAGAGTAAGGAGTTTCCGCTTGGCAATGTTGCACATTCCTACTGAAGCTGACCCAATTCAGTAGTGGAAATGAAGGTATCTTCTTAGGTTGCTCTATGAGTTGTCCCGGCAGCTTTTCCTGAACAACTCCTTCCCACTGATGGAGGGGAGGGTAGGTCTTCTCCCACGGGGGAGTCTGGGGACTCGGTCCTAGGCTGGATCTGTATGTCTTGGTCCTCCTACAATGCCCTGTCCTGCTCCTCAGCTAGGGCCTGCTTTTTCCTTTGCTCTTTTTTAACAGAAAATGTTGGTGTCTATAGATCTAATGATTTGTGAAATGAAATATTGTGTGACAGTAAGTACACAGCTCTCATGGGTTAAAAGCTTAAAGGTTGTTCTCATATCTGGGTCTTCATAGATGTGTGCAAAATTTTGATGTAAAAGATGAAACTCCAACACCTCACAGCTAGGCTGAGGGAGCTGAGAATGCGCTCGGTGTGTCTGTCCATGCTACCTATGCACATCGGACTTGTGTTGGTGCCTGGTGAACGTGCTTGACCCTCTGTGGCGGTGTCAACTGGGAGGCAGCTGGGCAGGGACCTGTGTGAATTTGGCGCTGTAAATAGCCCAGATTTGTGCTGTCCGTCTGAAGTTGATTGTTGTCTTCACTGATGTTGCTGTTTCACAGATAAAAAGGAGATAGAAGTCCCTGTTTTAAATCCAAGGAATTGTCATAAGTTCACGTTGTTGTCTTAACTGGGCACCAGTTCTAACGAGATTTTCAGGGGATTTCAAAACAAATACAGCAACTTAGAGAAAATAGTTTGAAGTTTTTCTAATTTTAAGTGGAATATTTAGTAACCAAGGATCCTGCCAAAGGACAGTTGGGCATGACATTGTGGAGGACCAGAAAGAGCCAAAGAAGTGGTTCCTTGACAGCTACTCTCAGTCTGCTGCTGGCAATGTCATGGAGGGCTGCGTCGTGCAGCTTTATTACTTGTTTGCAATTTAGGCAAAATTGTGGATGTTGTTTTTACTATGTTAAGGTCTGAAGAATAGTCTTGTATGATCACAGGCTTCCCTGTGTTTGACTGGGAGGAGGAATGCCTCTTAAAATATGACGGAAATAAAAAGCTTCATGACACCTCCTTACCCTGCCTAGACACCTGAGCTCCAGCCTGCTACGTCGTGTTGGCCCTTCTGCCTAATAGGGCTTTTGAGGACCTGTCTAGTGGTGTAAGTTAGGACTGCAGACTTTGATAATTAAAAAGCAGTTCAGACAAAGCCCGTAGCTGCCTGCTCTCTCTTTCTTCCTCACTGTAAAAACCTCAGACGTGAGAAAAATGCGTTGGTGCTGTGCATCAGGAGCAAAGAAGAGTATTGATAAAGTCTGCATTGCTCTTAACATGTTCTCAGAAAGTATTGTATTGCTGCATTTATTAGTAGAAAGCAAATGGGAATTAAAACAATCTCTGTTGAGATTCTGCAGTCATCCAAAACATGTTGATTGGAGAAGCTTCAAATATGATATAGAAGTAATGTAGATCTTTCCTGTACTCTCTGTGAAGTGGAAGATAAGCCTGGGGAAATAGAGAACAGATGGTAATATTACCACAAATAAAAGCCATAAGAGGGAAGGGTGAATAAACTCTACAGTAGTTACAGGACATGAAATTTTTCCCTCCAGGCCAAGTAAGCAGAATTTTTAACATTAGAGTAAAATTTTCTTTGTTTCCTATTTATAGTACAGGACAATTTGAAGAGGAAAATGTATACTACAAGAATTACTTGGAAACGTGGGAATTATTTGTTATTGTTATTGTTTGTTTTCTGAACATTCTTTTTCTACTCGTTTTTTCATGAAAGGAGGCTATCATCCGGTGAAAATTGGTGATCTTTTCAATGGCCGGTATCATGTTATTAGAAAGTTAGGATGGGGACACTTCTCTACAGTCTGGCTATGCTGGGATATGCAGTAAGAAAACTATTTATTTCCATTCACTTTTTTCTTAATAATGCTACTTTGTTTTGTTTGCAGTAACTTTTGTTTTACATGCATGATAAAGTGTATGTGAAGGTTTCTTACCTTTTTATGCAGAAAGATGTGATGTCTGCAGTCTTTTTTTGCGCTTTGTTAAGGTGGTAGTTTATGAAAGCTCGCAGAAATAAGTGTAATTCTGTTTTGCTTGACAAATTAGCTTTGATTATTGAATTTGCAAGTTGTCTTGAACACGCAAGAGTAAGCTATTGTTTTTATTTCTGTTGTATCTTTAATGAAAAATATGATTATACCTTGATTGAATAATAAAACATGTAACCAAATTCCTCTTTTAAAGACATTAGCATCACGGAGACAAAATATTCAATAAATCAGACTGTCAACAGAGTATTCTTAAGAGTTGTTTTAAAGTGTAAGTTCAGTGTTTTCTGTCAGAATACGTTAGGTTATGAAATATCCTATTTAAAATTTCCCAACCTTCAAAGTGTGTCTGTTTTGCTCAGAGCATGTGTTGAAAAAGTTTCTTGTTCTTTTCAAGGGGGAAAAGGTTTGTTGCAATGAAAGTTGTAAAAAGTGCCCAGCATTATACAGAGACGGCCTTGGATGAAATAAAATTGCTCAAATGTGTAAGTATCACTCATGCAATAGAGTGCTCAATACCAATAGTAATAGTAATCATGAATTAAAAAAAAAAAGAGTAGCACAGTACTGTTTTTAAACTTTGTTTACGTATTTATTTTTCTAAATAGCTGGCTTATTGTGTGTTACCATGATTTCTGAAGCCCCAAAATATTGTTTAACTTCATGTGGAGAGCTAACTAATTAGTATTTTAAAGCGTTTTTTTCCCCCTGAAATGTCAGTGCTTGCATTCTTGGTTTAGGTTCGTGAAAGTGACCCGAACGATCCGAACAAGGATATGGTTGTACAGCTAATTGATGACTTCAAAATTTCTGGAATGAATGGAATTCGTATCCTTTTGAAAACATGGCGTCTTCATTAAAAATAGTCTACCGAGATAAGTAAGCATTTAGTTCTGGCTTTTTTCTGGTTATTCTTACTTTAAATATGTAACGTAGAAATACCAAAATATATGTAGATGTGAAGAGTAGTCCAGTGTGTAATGCACTCACCGGGGTCAAAGTAGCTTAGCTTTTCTAAACACAATGCAAAACAAAAAAAAAATCCCATGAATCCTGTCATGGTCTGCTAGAACTAGAGAAAGTTAGCTTACTAAAAACCTGGAGTTTCACTGAAAAGTTTTGTAATGACTGAGGCTTACAGGTAATATGTTTTGCTCTAGACTAGTAAAGAGAAAGAAAGTGTCAGTGTCATGAAGAAGCTGGTTTCTGTTTTCTTGTGGGAAGTGTGAGGGTATTCTTCTCTTGTTTATGTGATGTTCTTTTGGCAAGGTGTTAACGTCTTTTTTTGGCAAAGGTTTTAAAGCTTTTTCTTCAAATTCTTCCTTAAAAAAAAAGGGAAAAAAAGAAGGAGAGACAAAGTAACATATGACTGAGTATTGTGAATATTGTTCTTGGGGAAAATTATGGGTGTATGAATATATTTGATTTCAGAGTTGAGCTGAAGTGAGTTATCCTTGCTAATTATATTAGATATTTTAGCAGCTTATTGTATTATTGTGCTTTCATTTACTGTTACAGCTGGTATTTATGTGTATGCTTGTTGTGTCTTGGAGCCCTAATAACAGACCTCATTGTTCGTGGTGTTGCACTACCAGACAAAGACAGTTCCTGCTCTAGAGAGCTTAACACTTAAGATGACTTTGGTGATGTGCCTTTGAACTTCAGCAGATCAGGTTAAGGTGCTCTTCACCAACTCTCGTCTTCTAGGAGAGGAATCTGGGAGGTTACTGTCAGTAAATTTGAATGCCCACTAGAAAGCATCCTTTCAGGGTGAAGTGTGCAAGCAGTTTTCATCCCACCCATCTGTCTCTTGACGTTGGTTATGAAACCTTTGGTTTTGTGGTAAGTGAGAAATGAGAGAGTGGGACAAGTATTTTCACTTGCAGAGTGGCATCTGAACTGCTTTCCCTTTGTCCCCTTTTGATTTGTTTCTTGGTTGCTTCAGTGGTCAGCCACCGTGGTAGAAAGCTGCTTAAATGGAGGTGAAGTTAGTGTAGTCTGCTTTTTTCCTAGGTTTTATCACCAAATTAAAATGAATTAAAGAAACTGTAGAGTTGCCAGTTGTCATTTCAACCTGAGTGTATAAACGGTTTGTGATCAAGGAAAGCGTTTAACACAGTGAGGCCAAGAACCCTGGTTAGGGTTTCTTGGTAGTGCTGTTGTGCTACAAAAAAAAAGTTTTAATTTATGAGCTGAGATGCTTATTAAAAAGTATTTTATAAGTATCGCTATTGTCTAACTACGTTCACAAAAAAATAATGCGACCAAAGCACTTAATCTTCAGCTGACAGCTGTACAATTGAAGAATAATTAAAGTTATTTTTAGAAATCAGAAATTTTGATTTACTGTTTTCATTGTAAAATACTAATGTGAAATAGGGCATAAGAAAATGCTTTCATAACTATACGTAGAAGTAACTGTTATCGTTGTAACAGAGCAGTTTCTCAGTAACGTACTTAAATTATTACCAAGATTCACATGTATGTATACGTCTGTATTAAAGGTGAGAGCCATTTCTAAGTGTGAAGAGTAAATTTTGTTAGTGATGATACTTTGAAAGCATATCCAAACTTCATCTTTTGAAATACAGCACTTGAGCTGACAAAGCCAGAAGAAACCACGTACTAGTGAAAAATAAGAGTTCAGATAGCTTTGTGCTAGCAGATTAAAACTGATTTATTCTGTTTCAGTTTTACCTTCGTGTTGAAAACTCTGGCAGTACAGAAGTGGTTTTATGTGGAAGGAAAATGTTCCTGCCTTACTGAGAAGTCATTTTTCAGAAAGGTGCAGTAGACAGGATGGGCTGATACTGGACTCAAATTTAAATCACAGCTGGAAGTCTGTCAAAGTCCTAACCAGTGAAAATATGATACCAAGTATCTTATGCTTTGAGTTTTCTTGTGAACAGCTTGTGCATCCTGAGTTGCGTTGCTTATTTGAGCAGCAGTTCGTTGCATTCATTATTTGATCGACTCTTTTTTATCTTCTAGGGAAAATAATATTTGGTGCAGGTTCTGTTGAGAGGGAGCAGGTAACTGATTTTAGTGTTTTGCTGCTATTTGTTTCCATTTAAAAAATGCCGTATTAGTTCTACATTAGTATCACTGAGTTAAACAGGTTGAGAGAAATACAGTAATTTGAGAGTTTTTCCATGCTCTGCTGTTTCTAGCTTCCTTTGGGCAAGTCACTAAATATCTGTTCCTTGACTGTAAATTAAAACAACATATGCTTCATAAAGGCTTGAGGATTGGTTATGGAATACATTTAAAAGTTAAAGCAAGACAGAAGAGAGGTGGGTGAATCCTTCGGATGGCTAATATCACAAAATGTCGTGGAGCTTCCAAACAGGGAAACTTGTCAAGAGCCGTATAGCACAGAGCTGGGAATGTGCAGAGCCACTGGCCTGCACTGTGTGTCTGAAAACAGTCATCTTTCTCCTAGGAGCTGTAATAAGTGTTTATGTACAGAGGGACTTTAACAATGTATGTTATGCTACACTAGACTGATTTTTTTTAACTACTTGTACATTTTAAAAAGATTGCAATTATGATTTTTTTCAGGAAATAACAGAAATCCTGGACTTAGGCTCTTTGGTGTTTTCAATAAGTGTTGATTATTAAGTTTGTCTGCACTAGATATTTATTAGAGCCTTAATAAATGTTTATTTGAGTGTAGCATTTTTTGAATAAAAGATTCAGATGAACACAGAATGAAACAAGTGGAGAGACAAGTGAAAAAATGATGAAGGAAACATTACTGACACAATCAGATATTAAAATAATTGTAATAAATTTATCTGCAAAGAACATACAGCATTAATTAAATGCCATAGAGCCTAAATGCTGCCAATCCAGAAGCAATTGAGATACATCCAGAAGTGTTCTGTGTTGGTACCACAGCTGTATTTCATTTAGCTTAACTAGTCGTTAACCCTCATCAGATTTCTAAATGCTCCTGTAATGTGTGTTTGTAGATAGATTGATAGTTACAGGTAGGATTTTAGTCCAGAAACAAGAGTTTTAAGTACTTAAGCCTGTCATCTGATTAGTGTTTGCTCTCACTTTTGCCGCTCTGCTAAGTTTTCCCCTTTCAGACATTCCCCAAATGCTTTGAAGAGTGTTTCATAAGGGGCATGTCTGCTGCGAGGGTTTCAGGTGGAAGAGAAAGGTCCATGGAATGTGGAAAGAGGGACAGGCCACTTGGGAAGAATACAGGATGTGGTCAGAGCATGCAGGGATGCAATGAGGGAAGGCCAAGGCCCACCTGGAATTGAATCTGGCAAGGGATGTCAAAAACAACAAGAAGGGCTTCTTCAAGTACATCAATAGCAAACGGAA